GAGTGTGTGGCGTATGTGGGAGTGTGTGCGTATGTGGAGTGTGTGGCGTATGTGGGAGTGTGTGGCGTATGTGGGAGTGTGTGGGTATGTGGGAGTGTGTGGCGTATGTGGGAGTGTGTGGCGTATGTGGGAGAGTGTGGCGTATGTGTGGCGTATGTGGGGCGTGTGTGGCGTGTGTGGGGAGTGTGTGGCGTATGTGGGAGTGTGTGGCGTATGTGGGAGTGTGTGGTGTATGTGGGAGTGTGTGGTGTATGTGGGAGTGTGTGGTGTATGTGGGAGTGTGTGGTGTATGTGAGAGTGTGTGGTGTATGTGAGAGTGTGTGGTGTATGTGGGAGTGTGTGGCGTATGTGGGAGTGTGTGGCGTATGTGGGAGTGTGTGGCGTATGTGGGAGTGTGTGGCGTATGTGGGAGTGTGTGGCGTATGTGGGAGTGTGGTGTATGTGGGAGTGTGTGGGTATGTGGGAGTGTGTGGTGTATGTGGGAGTGTGTGGTGTATGTGGGAGTGTGTGGTGTATGTAGTGTGTGGTGTATGTGGAGTGTGTGGGTGTATGTGGGAGTGTGTGGTGCATGTGGGAGTGTGTGGTGTATGTGGGAGTGTGTGGCGTATGTGGAGTGTGTGGCGTATGTAGTGTGTGGCGTATGTGGGAGTGTGTGGCGTATGTGGGAGTGTGTGGGTATGTGGGAGTGTGTGGCGTGTGTGTATGTGGAGTGTGTGGCGTATGTGGGAGAGTGTGGCGTATGTGGGAGTGTGTGGCGTATGTGGAGTATGTGGGAGTGTGTGGCGTATGTGGGAGTGTGTGGTGTATGTGGGAGTGTGTGGTGTATGTGGGAGTGTGTGGTGTATGTGTGTGTGGTGTTGTGGGAGTGTGTGGTGTATGTGAGAGTGTGTGTGTATGTGAGTGTGTGGTGCTGTGTATGTGGAGTGTGTGGCGTATGTGGGAGTGTGTGGCGTATGTGGGAGTGTGTGGTGTATGTGGGAGTGTGTGGCGTATGTGGAGTGTGTGGTGTATGTGGGAGTGTGTGTGTATGTGTGTGTGGTGTATGTGTGTGGATGTGGGAGTGTGTGGTGTATGTGGAGTGTGTGGTGTTGTAGTGTGTGGTGTATGTGGGAGTGTGTGGTGTGTGGGAGTGTGTGTGTGTGTGTGGGAGTGTGTGGTGTATGTGGGAGTGTGTGGTGTATGTGGGAGTTTGTGGTGCATGTTTGTGTTTGTGTGTGTGTGTGTGTGTGGTGTTAGTGTTGGTTTGTGTGTGTGGCGTTAGTGTGGGTTTGTGTGTGTGGCGTTAGTGTGGGTTTGTGTGTGGCGTGGCTGTGTGTTGTCTCGTTGTGTGTGTGTGTCTGTGTGTGTCGTGTAGTGTGTGGTCCTTGTGTGGGTTTGGTGTGTGTGGCGTTAGTGTGGGGTTTGTGTGGTGTGGGTGTTAGTGTGGGTTTGTGTGCATGCGTGCGTGCAAGTTTGTGCGTTTATTGCATAACTAGACTTGAAACCGCATCAGTATGCTTAGACAATTTAACATTCCACAATTTTGTGATAAGAAAACAGTGGAAATCGTACTTGTAACTATAATGGATAATGGATAATGTACAGTTAATACATAAACTTTGTCTTATGACAAAAATGTACACTAGTATTTTGTGTTGTTCCACATATTAATATTGTTTCTTCATTTAATTCCTTCCAGGAATTTAAGGACAATCCATGTGCCTAACTTGTATTTTGTTTCATATTAGGAAATCTATTCAACAAGGACATATAAGAAAGATTTGTATGTAACTGTTATATGAAATAGCTTCATAAATTTAAGAAATATTTAGAATGCTTTCTGGGATATGTAGCAAGATGATAATGACTGTGAAAATGATTATAAGGGTAAATAAAAATCATTGTGTTACATGGAGTTTGCATACTTCTAGCAACTAGACGTCGCTGCTTAGCAATGGCCATAATAAATGGTTAGGTTAGAAAACAGAAATCGTCTATAATGCAAGATATCTTTATCAAGTTCTATACATTTTCTGTTACATAGGAAGCAACATTGTAGTTTATAATAACTAACATTCATTAATATCACAAGTCTTGTTTAATCCATTTCTGGTCAACCTTACATATTTATCACTCTTATACATTTAGAAAGTATTGTGATACGTGTCTCTAAACTGGATCATGTTTGAAAAAGATAGCAAGTCCTTTAGATTATTCCTGTGGTAACCTATCAACATAGGCGTTAGATCTTGTCCTTGCATCTATGGTCATTGGTAAGCAATTGAAGTGTAGCTCCACTAATTCCTGTCCAAAACAACCAACTCTTCTAAAATGCCAGCAGGTTATGAATTTTCCTTTAGAAGGAGCATCACTCTCAAAAGAAATACTTTGATATTATTTAGGTGATTCCTATTTAATATGAATTTCAATCTTTACCATCTTCAATCTGGCGATATAAGTCAAGTAAAACACAGCCACTTTTACCCATAACATACTTTAATTCCTGGCCATTACTGTAGCTTATCTTCTTAAAGCATGAAGAAAGGTTATATTAAATGAACATATTTCACATGACGATAATCTCTTTAAATAAATTCCATATTTGACGGGATAATTCATGAGGGCACTGAACGAGTGAGAACAGATACAAGACTTGCCAATTGAAATCTGTTCAAATTACGTACTCAAAACAACTAATTATGCTGCTGACATATGTAACAAATTTCATATGCATATGGATCGGCAACTCCGTCGTGGCAACAGTTTCAACAACCCAAATATTTACATGGTTGTTTGATGAAACCGTGAAAAATGCTTGGCTCTTGCGTAAAAAGTATGGAGGTAACATGACTCGGTTGAAATGCAAGGAGCAAACCTCTAACAACCACAGTATTCTTTTACATAAAAGGGAGTATCCCCAACAAATCCAGGGAACCTTGTCAAGCGAAGATTGACACACTAAATGTGTTTCAGAAGATATTCACTATGATGGAGTAAAACTGCAAAACTATCAGGAAAAATGTACAAAGATGTGCAAGGGTGGATGTAAGAGAGCCTAATTCAATCAGTGTAATAAGTGTGTCATGAGACTTTGCACTCCTTGAAATCTCCCTTTTCAAAGCATTTTTAAATTTTTTTTACTACTTTCATCAACTCGGAATGATATAAAACTAAAGCAAAGCTGAAGACATAGAACTTGTGTATATATAAGTAAACGTTTGTTTGTAAGCATAACACATTCTTTCTGAAAATGACACTGATTTCACTAAGCATGACATATATGTCACACCCAATCTTTTACAAAGTGTAATACTTACTTTGTACAAAAAATACGGAGCTGCTTCCCAAATTCAACATAAAACTATATATAGGTCAAGATTATAATTTCAAGAAAATAGAAATTGGAACGTAATAGGTTATGAAACCCCTAAAGAAAAATGGAAATGCCTAGCATATAACACGATCTACAAAGACCTCAAGAACCTACCTGGTGATGGTATGATGGCGGGGGCGGTTGATAAGGAGCTGGGGGCTGCGATACAGCCGGGGGTTGGCCCGGGTGAGGACCAGGATAACGAACACTTGCATACTGAGACCCAGCTGTCCCACCCCCTCCACTTGGCTGTGGTGCTTGCTGTTGACTTGGACCAGTGGACTGCTGCTGTGACTGTTGTTGAGGATGTTGAGGTTTTTGGTGCGGCCCGGATCCCACCCACTGAGATGCTGGTCCAGACTGCTGGTTCGACTGCAATGGACCAGACTGTGGTGGCTGTTGCTGTGGCTGATGGTGAGGACCTGGAGGATGCTGTGGTGGAGGCTGTGACTGCTGCTGTGGAGGCTGCTGTTGTTGCTGCTGCTGTTGCTGTTGGTGGTGCTGTGAGGTTGGTGGGTGCGGTGCATGGGGGCGTTGAGAGGGTGAGGGGGGTGTGGACCATGTCTGTATTGTAGAGTAGGACCCGGGCCTGGGTTGGAAGGGGGTCGGCCTCCTTTGCCAGGTGGTCCACCTCCTGCATGCCCACCCGGATAACCAGGTCTTGGACCATTACTTGCCTGAAAAAAAAAAGAGGAGTATGATAATAAAAGCTACAAAATAAGTCTAAATGTTTGTGACCGTGAGATCATGAGACATAACATAGTTATTAATTTATATCCATATGAAATGCATATTCTCCACAAATTAAATAAAAAAATCACACCATTTGAAATGATACATTATGCTAAAATTTAACATTTCCATTTATAATGTGGCAAACTGTCAAAGTTAAAACTATTGTTCCCTATGTAAATGTAGTAGATATTAAAGATTCTTGATTGCCATACAAAGCATAGGCATCCTCACAGTACCTCTGAATCTTAATGTATCTTCAAAATAAGTTTCGGATTTCTTCTCAGTTAATCTCATTGAGGATTAAAAATCCTCATGGTACACACACACACACACACACACACACACACACACACATATATATATATATTATATATATATATATATATATATATATATATATATTGTGTACAAAATGCTGTGAGCTCGACCTGATATTGGTATCCCTGTGATTCCAATAGCAAAGGTCCTTAAAAAATTCCATGATAATGATGATGTCTGAAATTCAAGCAAATAGAACAGGGGAAAAAAAGGGTCTCCAAATGTCTAATAATTCTAATTTTTCGTGTTACCGCAACGTCATGGCGAATGCCGGTATGGATGCTACTAACGCCCCTGCTAGTAATGCTAAGGCAGCGATGATATAATGATTGCGTGTATGATCTTGGGGGATGTCTCTGACCATGGCTGCCCAGACATTCTCAATGGGATTGAGATCTGGTGATTTGAGTGGATGTATTACAGCATAATCTTGGGTGCTGTCGAAAAGCTTTCACAACCTGCTCCTTTAAATGGAGCCGTTATAATGGACAAGGTGAACTAGCTTCGGATTGGGGAAACACCATGGCCCTAAAAACACCTCATACTGGATTTCCATACTGACATTCTTCAACTCCCCAATGCCATTGCTGTGCATCTACCAAAACTAGCCACACCCCTTCTCAAATCCAGTCAGATGTGATGGTGGAAGCCACAGAATATCAAATGGCTTTTATCAGCTCATGGTATTCAGCTAGTTCAATGCAAGATTCTTTCCCATCTTTCATATAGCATTGTTCTCTATTACTAATATTGTCATAATATAAAGCCTTGTCATTTCAGCTCCGAAACACAATTAAAACACATTATGAAGTTTCATGTGTTCTAAGCTTTGGAGGCAAGTACCAGCCTTCCCGGATCAACTAGTGATTATTTGTTTCATCTACTCCCAGTTGTACCTCTCAATCTTCTGAGTATCTTCAAGATAAGATTCAGTAGTCTTTTTCTCATTTAATTAATTGCATATTCAAGATAATTAAGAAAACAAATAAGAACAATTGGTCAAGAATCCTACAAAGGTCACCATAAACACTTTAAGACAATTGCGTACCATTTTTCAACCAAAATTTTCCACCTTGCCGATTTTGAGTAATATGATTTTCCAAAGACTTTCAGGGCCAAAATTTCACATAAAAGACCATATTTTGCTAGTTTCATCCTTCAGCAAAATGTTTTGAACATGCAAACCCTAGGTTTGTCAAATGTTCCAGATCACCAAGACACAGCAGGTAAATATTTCATTAGAATCTGTCTGTAATTTTTTTTAATTGAAAAAACAAAATCCTTGATCAAGATCATGATCCAGATTACCATCAAAATGTAACAGCGTCCAAGTTAGGCAAAGACACACCTTTGGTAAAAATTTCATTAAAATCTGTTCATAACTATGAGTAACCCTTGTATTAAAAATAAAACAACCTAACCACAAATTAATAAACAAATGGAGGTAACAATATATATAAATATAAGGTCATGAAATACAGGGTAATGATCTGTATATACATATATATATCATATACTCACTGCAACACCACCATATGTTTATATATTTCTATTTCACTGGAGTGTTAGTGTGAAAGATGTGTGATTCGTCCCATAGACTTACACCGCCCAAGGCCTCAGGAACACGTGCGCACGGCCCCTTCTCTGGCGTCCCGGCCTGCGAGTGTGAGGTTCAGTGGCATGGAGAACGATATTTCAGACCGGAATTTTATGTTGTAAACCCTCATTGTCGCAATGAAAAATTGAAATAGCTTTATATGATAAAATCATATACCATTTCATATATCATTAGTTATCCATGACGTAAAAAATACGTTGAATAAAATCACAAAATTTCTATACACTCCACTGTTAAGCATAGCACACACACACTTCCTGTCCAAAATAAATGTAATATGGCTTTTTTTATAGCTGAATACATCTACTGAATGATGCAATTAGTTTTTGCCGTTTTTTCATGTGCTTCTTGTAAAAGTGACATATCAATATGAGAGCCTCTTTTTAGGTATTCAACCTACAACCTTATTTCGAAGGTCTAATTCAGTCGAAAATACACATATTGTACCTCATTCTGTAGATAAAAAATTTCCTGTGCTTCCTGTACATTCCCAAAATTTAGTATGATTCTGTTAAAAAATATTAATAATAATAACTTTTAAAAAATCTAAAAAATTTCAAAAAGGCATTTTTCTGCTTGTATTTTTTTTTTTTCACTATTACACAAGGAGTGGACAATTTAAAAAAAAATGATCTCAGATCATTCTAGGGACTAGATAAAAGGGCATGAATTTTATTAAATTAGCAGAAATTGAACAATATAAAGTAGATTATCCCCTAAATACAAGATGTAATCACAAACAGATCAGACCTCTTTTTCATTTGTCTTCCCATGTCATGTTGCTGATCCTCAAGTTTTTATAATCAAATAATGGAGACTAAACAAGTAAATATCCTCATGTAAGTAATCAAAAGCAGCATAGATGCCACTGCTCCCTCATTAACAAAACTGTTAGACATCACCCTGTTCCACTGATAAAGAAAGAAATCAACAGAGCCATTTAGAAATATCATTTAGAAATAACAAAATTCTCAAAGACATCTGATTTAACCCAGCCCTTCATGCTCGTTAAAGGCAAGATGTCAAAATATATATGCACGACAGTGATCATCACAGTGATTTGCTCCCCTATTGGGGGGCGCAAAAAAGTCGAAAAAAATAGTTTTTTTTTTGGTATGTCTTCGGTACATCCCAACTATCACAGCTCTTTACAGAATATTCCCCCAAAAATACTTGTGTTAGATCAACTCTAGCCTATAGCCATATAAAAGGCCGAATTTTGAATTTCCTTTTTTTTTTTTTTGGTGGGGGACAGCTTGACATAGAACTATTTTTTTTTTTTTCAGCATTAAAATATTATTATTTTTGGATTAAGGCAAAAATTCAAAAATCGGCCTTTTACCTGGCCTTGGGACGCCGAGGCTCTAGTGAAAGCAACAAACTGCATTTGGATCGCATGAAAATTACTTGAGTTGGGATGTACCAAAAATTCATAAAAAATGACGGAGCTACGGCGTTTTGTATTTGGCCCCTTGCCAAAGTTCGTTATCTCTGTTATTTTTCTCTAAATCTAATTATATCAAAATAATGCTTATTTAGTGTACTTTGCAATGCAATGATTACCAAGTCAATAGGAATTTTCATGTTCAATTGGGACCCTATTCTATAAAGTTATTTTTTTTTTTCGTTGTTCATAAAAGTTGATATTTTCATGTGAAAAGCTTAATAAATGCATTTTACCATAGAGACAACTAATCTAAACCAGATAAAAAACTTTTTAAATTTTTTTTTTTTTTTTATTATTTTCCATTTTATTTTCATTTTGAAGAAATGGGGAACTGTGGATGGCAACATTAGTACAAAATCATTCTAATTATAAAGTCCTGGCATGAATACAACATGGTGGTTTAATCTTGAGAATTTTAAAAGCATATGAATTTAGTACATTGAATTTGAGAACTTACGAAAGTCGTTGAATATTTCCCATGCCTCACACGGGGGGGGGGGGGGGGGGGGGGAATGGTCACTGGGTGTTTACAATTTTCGAGGAGGTTCATATGTACGTGAATGCACGCACATAAAGTTAAAAAGATTAATCATCATAATCTAGTAGGCCTACATTGACTTTCATATCTAAATAATAAAATATATTTGTTATCCCTCTCATACCATTTTCTTTGATAATTGTCAATATTAACAGATTGCAAAGAACAAGTGTATAGTTTGTGATTAGCCATTTGCACCAATTATCTTTACTAAGAAGTGCATAAAATCATGCAGACGCCTAGGTGTTGTGGGATATTTGCCAATTTATGGTGCCTAAGACTTCCGGTAACGTCTAAACATATTCATTTTTATTGGGAACGCACGAAACGGATGCGATAGCTTTTTGAACGCCAGACGAAGACTACGCATACAACCGAGCTCAAAATTCCATATATTTTTATTTCAGAGCAGGTATTACTGAGTACTATCATCTTCAACGTGAAATAATCTGTATCTCGCTTATACATACGAAGTTTAAAAATCTGACATTTAGGTAACATTCGTATTGAATTGGTCTTTACAACGGTAACTACCAATTTCAAATCAACTCAAATTGCTCCCTGCTGTGATGTACCGACCGTTGAGCGAAATGTAACGAAAATATTTCAATCCTTCCTTCTAAGGCTATTTTTAAACATTAGTGCTTCGTATGTGATATACGTATATATTACCTCGTAAACTAAAACATATTACCAGGGAGTCTCGATCAAAGCATATTTCGTGTGTAAAAAGACACAAAACATACATTTTTTATAGATATATTTCACAAAATATTTCGTCATAAATCACGGTGATATAATTTTTTCCTGATATTGGTATAAAAGTGTTCCTTGAACATCCACGAACTCATATCTATGCGCAATGTCATAATTAAATGCCTTATGCACGATTGCCGCAAGCTAAAGTCCACATAGGTGTACCTGGGCGCTCATTAGCGACGTACCTCTCCGGGTGCTGAAGGACTCGCGCGCCGGCTGCAAGACAACGAGCCATAGCAGGCGCTTAACCAACTATACCAAATTGGTCAAAATTCCTGAAAATGTATCAGCACAGCAATTAGCAAGTAGTATCTATATTAGGCCCAATCCTTATTGAAATATTAATAAAAAATCTGCAGACAGGCCAAAATTAGCTTCACGTTACATACAATGACGATTTACAGATTTTCCACAAGGACTCTGCACACAACTCTAATGAAATAATAAAGATCTAACAGACACAATGAGGAAAAGCATATTTCAGTGTCAATGCCCTCAAAAAAAAGATTTGACGGTTGTCATCAAAACATTAGTAAAGCTCCTGCAGACACCTTAGAATTTGATGGCTGTTAAATTTGTAAATATTCAGGAAGTACACAAGAACAAACAAATTACATTTAAGACCCATACATTATAGAAATTCCTACATTTGGAAATAGACCACAATAGTTTTAAATGAGAGGGTGGGTCTTGATGTTACGTTTACAGATTACTGTAATTGTATAGCGTATACTATACAATTATAAAGAAAGAAGGAAAGGAAAAAAGAACACTTTTATTGTTTGTTATATATAATGGGTGATGCAACACAGTGCCTATATACGAGATGCCACTGTATTCAACTAAAGGTAATACAATCCATTGTGCAGGATGGGCATGACATAATTACTGGATCCAAAAATGCTTAAACCTAGTCCAGACCATGATACATTCTATCAAAATACTTCTTCAACAATGTATCTATAGTTCCAATACAGTCGATTTTTCAATTTTTCTTACCGATTTAGATGAAACTCACCCTTTTATTTAGACCCCTTCCCATTCCCTGTGGTCGATTTTTTTTCGAAATCGGCCAAACAGTTTTTTAATTATTGTAAAAAAAAACGAAATTCTTCGGAAAAAAATATGAAAATGCAGGTTGTTTGAGTTTTTTTTTTTCGATTTCGATTTCATATTTTTGGGGTGAATTTTTGTAGCAGGGGACTTCAAGAAAAAGGAAAAGGTAAAAATTTT